TCTCTCTCTCTCTCTCTCTCTCTCTCTCTCTCTCTCTCTCTCTCTCTCTCTCCCCCTAACGGGCAGGGCGCCACGTCGAAACGGCTGGGACCTCAAAAACTTGCAGTGTCTTGTGTCTGGACCTCTAGGCCATGTCCGGTGGGGTGAAAGGACACTTAAAAATCACCCCGTTATTTTTCGAGGGGCGGCTGGGACCCGACAAACGTCCTGGGCCGCCCCTTTTTTTTTTTTTTTTTGCCCCAGGGGCCTCCATCCAGACATGGGGACCGAACACGGGACACCAGACATCGGACACCGGACTGTTTGGAACCCGGTCCGGACGTCCGGGCGGTTACCATGGAAAAATCACAATTTTTTCAAGGCTGGGCCGGCAACCGGCCGGATCACCTGCCCCGGTCCAACCGGCGTCGGACCGGTCCAGGGGGGGTGAACCGGCAAAACCGGATGCCCCAAAAAAATGCGCAGAATTTTTTTTATTTTTTTTTGATTGCAGCTCTAACTGTGCTCGTTGAGATCTGTCGGAATCCGCATTAAAACTTGAAAGTCAGGAATTTCTTTTTTGTGGGGGTGGGGTGGGGTGGGGGGGCGCTGGGGGAGTTTATGGTGCAGGGTGCATTTCATGGGTGTGCAGGTCTGTAAGCAGCAGCATACATACCTAATGGAAGACGAGGTAGACGACAGTATGAGGTGGAAGAATGCAAATAAGAAAAGGGTAAAGAAGAAGAAGAAGAAGAAGAAAGATAAAACAGATAAAGGGCAGACAATTTAACAGCAGCGGCTCAACACCCGATTCAAAGTTTCTTCAAGTCAAAGTTGTCAAACATCTGCAGCGGTTCCAGATCTCTCTCTCTCTCTCTCTCTCTCTCTCTCTCTCTCTCTCTCTCTCTCTCTCACATTCGGAATCCCTTTCACTCATCTCGTCGTCGGGCGAGTACGCATTGCCCTCATCCGAGTCAGGGTCATCCTCCTCCACTCGCAATTTGCGGGCCCTTCCGGGGGGCCTGGGACACTTTTTTTTTTTTTTTTTGCAGCATCATCCCCCGACTTAGCCTTGCGGGGCCTCCCACGACCACGGCGTGGCTTTTCGGGGTGTTCGTCGACCGGAGCTTTCCTCTTTCGCCCTGCCCTACTTTTCCAAAGGTTGTCATCCTGCACAACCGCATTTTGTGCAGGGTAGGGGGGTCTGCCGGTGTGGTGTGCCGCTGCAGGCACTAGTGTTTGGACTTCCTGTTGTTCCGGCTGTTTCTTTGGCGGTGCATGTGCCCGGGGTCTTCGTGCATACACCATGGCTGGCAGTTGCTGCGGCTCCTCTCCTTGTCGCTGCATATTCTCTTCGGCATGTTCCAGGAGCTCGACTCCCTCCTGCTGCTGATTTTTTTCCTCTTGGTGTTGCTGGGGCTGCTCTCCGTGGGGCTCCTCTCCCTCTTGGTGCATATTTTCATTTTCTTGCTGCTGATCTTTTTCTTCCTGATGCTCCTTCTTCGGCTCGCTGATCTGTTTGCTTTGTCTCTCTCTCCCTCCTGGTGGGGATAGCAGCACGCCGAGCCTCCTCCTCAAGCATCCGCATCTGAACAAGGGCAGTATCTCTATCCGCCATAGCCTTTGCCCGATCTGCTTCGTCCTCGTCCGCATCACAGTCACCATCAGGAACACAGTGCATCAAGAACTCGATGTCCGTGTCAATTCTCTCCACGGGTTCTGAAGGCTGCACCTCTGCCTCCTCTCGCCTCCCGCGCATCCGACCGACGTAAGTTGTGGCTGGCACCGCTGGCACAACCCCCAACTCAAAGTCGGAGTCCTCACCAATATCATCCTCACCACCGCTCTCTTCCGAAGTAGACTCATTCCAACATTTCCCCTTCCATATCAGATCCTCAAGCTCGCTGCTCCCGCTTGAGTCTTCATCCAACAGGTCGCGGGGAATCCGTCCTTTCGGAGCGTTCTTCAACCTCTTTTGCCTCTTTTCCTCCTCCCCTTCGTCCTCCGTCTTCTCCGTTGTGCCATCGTCGAGAGATTGGTCCTCCCATGTCGGCTCCATCAATGGCTCGAAGAAGGACCCCCATACATCCACGTAGCCATTGTCCTTGCTCGTTCGAACACGAAGCAACTGCATGTTCCAATGAATGTACACAAGTTTCTCCAGGGACACCGGTGAGAGGCTGTTCCTCCTCTTTGAGTGGACAAAGTCCATCGATGCCCAGTTCCGCTCCGCAGATGTTGCTGTGCTCCACATTCCCAGCAGTCTGATGGCGATCGCCTGCAAATCCGGAACATCTCCACCGTGCAACGACCACCAATCCGCCGGAGCACGTTTTGTGGCTGTCGTTCTAGCAAGAGGGGTCCACATATGCTTATCTTTCCTGACTTCACCTTCCACAGGCTCTCTCAAGAACTCATACAGATACCCACACATATCAATGTGTTTTTGTGAATCCCACGTCCCCCCAATCTGCCTCAGCAAGAAACGCATTGCATTTTGCACGAGGGCAGTATTTGGATCGTTGAGCCAGCCAGGCTGTCTCCTTCGTGGATCCAAAAGAAAGGCAGCTGCATGTGCTGGCTGCCCCATCATCTGCACGCGGTCCTTCACCTTCGCCATCTCGTCTTCGCACTCCTTCGTGAGTACGACATTTGTCAATCTCCTTGCAATGAGATCGTCGTACTCCACGAGGTTGGTGGGAGACACTCCTTCCTTATCCATTCTCTTGAGCAGGCTGAACACCGGCTCCATGATGGCCACAATTTTCTTCACCTTATCCCACCAACTGTCACACCCCACTGAGTAATAGACGAGGTCGGCCTTCCTTTGCAGCTTTGTCGAGGACCACCTCAGTGCCCTCCATCTCGCACCATAATCCCCATCCACCATATCCTTCAGCACGTCCTCCCTGTTAACCAACCTACCCAGCATCTGATACGCAGACCTGAACCGGACCTCTGTTGGACGCAGCAATGACAAGGAGTTGTCGATAGCCATCATGAGGTCGTGCGTAGAGTGGTGGTTCCTTATGAATTTGACAATCGTGTTTGTCGTCTTCACCGTGTCCTTCACCCATGGCAAATTGCTCAAGTCCTTCAGCAACAAACTGCAACAATGCGCTCCACATGGCACCCATGGTATCGTCGCGACATCTTTGTCGGTCCGCCTCTCTAAGATTTGAGCCGCCTTCTTGTTGACCTCCACATTGTCTGTACATATCGCATTGATCCGCTCAAGCCCTATCTCACGCATCACCTGCTCCCATAACTTTGCCAATGCTGCTGCGTTCTTCTTCCTCCCCGTCATGTACACTGTCGTGACCAGAACTGCTCCTTTCTCCCCCGTTGCAAGGAAATTCATCACCGGTCGGTTCTTGCGATCTGTGGACCCGTCGGTGATGAATGTGCAGCCGGTTGTGTCCCAACATGCAGTCATGGGGTTGATTGCTTTCTGCACCTTCAGGTAGATGTAATCAACCATGACAGTCCGCATGTGTTTGTAGGAAGGCAACTTGACCTTTGGCCTTGCACTTGCAACCTTCAGGTATGTTTCGTGTAGAGCTTGCGTGGTGTCGAAGTTTAGGAAGTTGAAAGGAATGCCCGCCCTGAACATTGCCTCCGCCCAGGCAATGTCCAACTCCTTCTGAGCTTGATTGTTGAGCCACTTCATGATTGTGGTCTGCTTCGCCATGACAGGTTTGACAGTGCCCCGCGCTTCACCGGTCTTCTCATCACCCTCCTCCCCATCCTCACTTTCCGTGGCA